ATGACAACAATTTGTATTTAATTAAAAACACATTGTTTAAATTAAACACGAATTGCAAGAAACTAAAAAAAAAAAAAAAAACTTGTTTGGTCTATATATTGAAAATGATTTTTACTTCCGCTTTTTGCATATCAACAAATCTTTTAATTTCCTGAGCATTGTTAGGCCTATTATATCACATGTTTATTATTAATGCGGATCTTCATATAATTTGCGGTGATAGGCTTCTTCAAACACTTATCGGGGAAATTAATAATTATCATATGAGACATTCAATAATGAATGTCGCAATTCAAATAGATTAAACCTATGTCAACATAGCATTATCAAACGTAACCTATCGTAACATAACGTAACGTTACGTAATGTTTATTCTAGTATCCCGTGCGCACCACTTAATTATTTCTTTCCCACGACTTAGTAACTCATGGCCGCGACATACTGCGCACCACTAAATTATCTCGTAGCCAGGACATAGTAACTCGTACGCACCACTTAATTATCCCGTGGCCACGACATAGTTTCTCGTGCGCTCGAGATTAATAAAAACGCGCAAATGTCACCTCTGTGCTACCGTAGATTCACACATAGATTGTGTGTGACAAAATATGGTGTTCGTATCAAATGACAAAATGTGTTTATGAATAAGTTAAAATGTATGACTTGTTTACGTCAATAAAATTTTAATATTTGCAAGTTTTCCGCAACATAAGCCACGTCTATGATAATATACTGCTCTATCGATCAAACGGATGTTCATTAATAAAACAACAACATAGAAGAATAAAAACAATGTTGTTGTTTTTTCAGGTATACAGATTGACTTTTATATGTTCTTGTTTTTCTCGAGTTTTTCTCTCGATTATATTGATAGTTTCAGTTTACAAACGCAATAAATTGTAACAAGACCCGTAATTGCTTGCTTCCAGAAAATTGATCATAGCTTGAAAACTGCTTCATCATGTCACGTGATAAGGCCACACCTTTAAAGCGACACGCCCCCACGTGACAGAATTTGTCATTTTTAGCCCTAAAAAACTGGCCCTCATCAAAATTTCTTCATATTTTAGACAGATTTCAAATATTTTTTGTGGATAATAAGGTCACTAGAATAGGTTTAATCGAACAAAGGCTCATCATGTCCCAGAAATGCTTTTATTTTAGTTCTCATTTGTTTTAAATTTTGATGTAGATCAGTAAGTCACTCATTGGCTTATTACGTGAACTTTTTCTTTTTCTATAAGTACAGCTTTAGTGGCTTTGTATTTTGTATGGAGGTCAAAATACTACTTTGTTTACATCTTCCTACGTTTATGATAAATTATTTTACATTGAACTTAATTTAATAACCCTACTTTCTTCGAGTAACAAGCATCTTACATGCTCTAAAACCATTATTTAAACGTTATAAAATTCATGCTTGCCCTTTCTAAAGAAGTAAAAAATAATTCGTTTTTAGGCATAATGTGCCTTTAATTTATATAAATATTTATAGTTTTGATCATAAATAAACATAAATCTTCAGAGGTGCTGCTTCAATATAAAAACACGAAGCGTTTAGCAATCAGTTCCTTTTATATGAAACTTATTCAAAATGTCTTGTTTAAGGAACAATTTTTGTTAATTTATGAACTTGTGGCATTAATTTCTCGGACAATAAATTCCAATTGTGAGTCCTAGACATGGCAACGGTTTCTCTATCGTGCATGTAAGGTGTAAAGCACCACAGCACGTGATGGCGGGTCTGTCCATAGAAGTTTCTTCGAAATTGTGGTAAGTGTGAAATTTTTATAACTTATATTTAGATAAATATATATATGGAACGAACGTATGAAGACAACAGCTTGTGTTGTGGCTCATCATCTCGATGGTAGCAGGCGATTCTATATCATTGCCTTTGACATTCTACAATACCAATGTATCTAAGTTCTAGGAGCGTTTCACCTTTACAAAGCTCGCTGAACTGTGACCTTTTGTCGCGTGAATACATAATAACTGGCTCATTTCTAAGGTGAAACCATGTATACGTAATAGTTATAGTTCGGATTTAAAAAAAATGGAATTTTTCACAAAGTATTTCAACGTTTTGGCACAACGCAGCTTAAGAATATACAGATATTCTTCCATTCGCCCGCGTGACCTCAAGCGCTTGCACGAGAGAATGGTGAAAGGCGACTTGGCATTTTGGGCGTTTGTGAGTCAACTTTAAGTCATTTTTTTCCTGCAATTTCTGCTGACAGTCAAATTGTAAACAGATGGTCTTCGGCCAAAGTCTTTAGACTATATTAAATTCTACATAAATTATTAAAGAGATGTACTGCAAACTTTGCCAACAAGTCTAAGAAAGTATAGGCATTACTTTTTAATTCCGCCGATATTATTTTGCTGAGCTATTCATGTTAAAGCGGTGGTAAAAATGTGAGCACAAAGATGAAATACACGTTGTACCGGATGTGCTCAAGACTATTAATAGTTCTTTTTAAGACCTGTCAAAAAAAAACAACAAAAAACAACAAACGTGCTGATGTCAAATACAGAAAATTTAATACATTAAAGGGCGACAACTGTAGTATGGTTGATATGAAAAAACCTCTCTCGAGATATAAATAAAACATTACAAATGTTACAGATGGCAACCATGCTGTGGTAAAAACAGACATTACACGGCACGATTTGGAAAACAATATGGTTATAACAATGGTCAGGTGATCTTGTCGAAAATCATATGTACAGTTAAAACCGAAAAAAATCAAACTGTACAAAGTCTTTTATACTTTGATTTCGGAAGACGACACATTACATTTAAAGCGACACATAATACGACAAATAACAATGTTATGCGACACATGGAAAATAGGACACGAAAAACGTTGGCCTTCATGGTATAAAAATATCATCAAATTGATATCTCGGTATCATCAAATTGAAATCATGATATCTTCAAGTTGATATCACGATTTTGACAAGTTGATATCAAGTGGCTCATTGACGAGTCGTCATTGTCGAGTCGCATTATACCTCGTATGTATATACATATTACGTCATAAATGCATGCATCGACACAATTGATTCGACAAGCTATATACACGACACATATAATGTTCAATGCGACCCGACATATCAGTGTACATCGAGCAAATGTCGTGCAATCAAAAGTCGTGCACGCCGAATTTATATTACCAGCTAGGACAGTGGACATATGAAACGATTAAATCATGTCCAAGCGACACAAAATATGACATTGTTGTATTGTCATTTATCTTATCATACGTTACATGTTATAGTCGTTACCCGTATATTGTGTCACATTTACTCCACAGAGTGACATAATGACATTTAAAATGGTACTTATCGGACTCCGTATTTTAGATTTTATACGCGTAAAATTGATTTGTGCTGATAAAACTGCTTGCTTTTTATCAGTATAAATCTGAATGTTATCAAAAACGTTTGACACAAAAATGCGGCATAAAAGTTAGCAAATATTAAAGGCACATTATGCCTCAGAAATCCATATTATTATAAATGTCAAGTATGTGTTAATAATGTTTCAATAACAGATTAAAGGGAGACATAGGCAAAAATTTTCATTTCTTAGTTCTGTTTTTTTTATTCATTTTTTCTGTATATTTCCTCAAATTAAAACACTAGACTGCCAAAGGAACAAAACTTTTCTCTTTATAAAGAATAAAATGGCGGTTTCCTAACTTGACCCACGTGGGTCAGGTTAGAGCGTTAAGATTTTCCAATAGCTGTCACAATTAACTCTAGAAGCGTTTAAAAACATCTGAAATATCCACAGTATATTGTTACTTTCAGGGTTTGTTAAAGTCACATGACTTGTTTTAAAACCACTTGGTGATTTTGTTGTTCAACATATATAAATACATTCACACTTCAAACCCAAAATGTATAGAAATTATACATAAATTCATTTTGGGACTTAAAAAATATCATTTTAGCGTGATTTGAGTTTAATATTTTTGTCATTAATTTGCCCGAGTATCCCCGAGTATCATATGTTATATGTTTAAATACTGTAAGAAGTAACTGTTAGCACTGAACGTGCAGTTATGTGTTGTAAATGTAACAATAGGTAAACATAGTAGTATTTTGACTTCCATACAAAATACTAATTCACTATAATTACATGTATACCGATTGCTGACAGTGAAAACAGCAAATAACTATATAAAAAATTAATATACTTTTGTGTTTTGTTTTTTTTGAAGTTTAATCAAAATAGCCTTCATTGCACTACGCTAAGAATAATATGGCAAGAGTCTTTAAGAATAATTACGTTTTTAATAAATATATAATAATATACTGTTTTAATATAAAACAGAAACCTTATAGATCTAGAACTATAATAAATAAAATAAAGTTACGGTAATTTGTACAGAGTTGTCTCGCACGGCCTGTCGTGCCATTGTGACGATATTTCCGGCCCTTTAGCTATTTTACCCTATCATTTCAATGCATCTCTTTGTTAATGCATCCTTATTAGATATCTTATCTATAACAAACAAAAATTTCTTCTTTTCTTCAGGGTTTTATCCTTTGTTAAATCTACATCCGTTAATAAAAACAAAAATGTATATAAATGGGTCCAAGGTTTACTAAAAACACATTTTGAAATACTTTTGAAAGCATGTCTACATGTAATTTGTGGCTATTGTTCAGCTGAACTTGTATCCTCATTATGTTAAAAACTTTATACATTTAAACAATAACATGAACTTTTGTAGGATTTTTTTGTAATATTTTTAATCTAATATGTGCTGCCATGTGACCAAAGATCTATAGTAGACAATATAAATTTCTAGTTAAACCTAGTGGATAAATTATTATAAATTTTTAGCGTACTCCAATATTTCATTTTTCAGCGTCAAGTCGCGTTGTACATAATGTAATATTTTTAACAATAATGATGGCATATACACTGCGTCGTCGTTTTACGAGCGTGTATTGAAGGACGACTGAGTACAATAACAATTCTATTTATAAATTTCTCATCCGTGATGGAAGTTTGGTCAATGTGTACAGTAATTATTTACCATTAACTTTTATTTGATGGCACATAGCTGTAGAAACGTGTAGTTATGAATATCTACGGGCGTGTATATACTATATCCGAGAAGTATGACCGGGAAATCGGTTAACATTTTTTATAGGTATTAAAGATTTAAAGTGAGAGGGAATGCCTGATAGTGTTCAGCTGTGTAAAGCTGGTTAAACAAGTTCGTTATCTAGGATTATAACTAGGAACAAAAAACGCAAGGTTAGTAAAGTTAACACGCATTATTCAGTTTTATTTTACAACATACTTTTAAAACACTTTTGAATTTTAACGCAACTGTGCACATAACATTACAGTACCAGTTTAAGTTTAACAGTATTCATTGTATGGTGCATGCGGAACAACGACTCGACTTTCGCTTTATATTATTATAAATGTATATATATTTATTTATATCCTGTTTCACACAGCGATCTTACTAAAACCTACTCGGTGTTAGGAAAGTTATACTAAATACATTATGTAATAGTAAATATGATCTTCCGTAGTATATTTTGTTTACATTTGCTTATGACACGCCCACTTTTCTCTGGCGTCTGTGAGGTTACAATTAATTAATTCGTTGAATTAATCGGCTTTCAATTTGTTGTCAGTGTGTGTATGTGTGTGTGTACATGAATGCATTTCTCTTGTTTTGTTGTTGTTGTTGTATTTGTAAATCCTATTTGTGTAAATAGATCTACTTACTTACAGAAATAATCTAGAGCTGGCAATGACGTACACCCCATGTGTTTTAATACTTAATAAGTCCTTAATGAGAAATTAATCACACATACAAACCGTATATTCTTAGTGGATGTAAATAATCAAACAAGTTTTCTTCGTTGATTTTTTTATATCAAATAATTTATCACCTAACTGCAAATTAATATGCTCCAATGTTCATATAATTACCATGTCAATTAAAAGTAACATGCAGTACGTTTATTAAAACAACTTTATATAATTAGATCTATGTAAAAAAGATATTTATGACGGAAAATAAAATAAAGAAAGTATTCAATCGGACAAAGTCCGTTGTAAACAGCATAATAGCTTGAAACCACCAACATTATTTTAATATTTATTACAGAAATATATCTTTTCCAATCATATATATAGTTTTAAATGACAGGACGTGTTTTTTTTTATTTATTTAAAATTCTTATTTAAACGTGGCCTTCTAAATTCTATCAAATCGTTAGTTGTGAAAGTAAAGGTATAAAGTGTTAACAGCATGTAGGCTATCAGGCTATTACACGAATGCACTGTTGAGCAGATGTAAACAAATGATTTCATGCACAACGTTCTACTTTTTTCGCATTAATAATTTTGGCCCAGGATATCTAGATAAGGCTGTGAGACATTTAACAATTTCGCACGTATACAAGGTCGACCCTTTGTTTCACCTTTGACTTGCATAATGTTAACTGTCAATTTAAATCTTACAGCATCTCAAAACTTTAATGATGCACATGTATTTACTTTTCCTCGAAAGCAAAGATTTACATTGCAATGTCACTTAGCTTATGTTTTATTTATAAATCGATGATTTCAATCTGTGCCAGGCGGGTACATAAAATGCGAAATGCATTTAACTTAAAAGATTGTTTAAATAGAATACATGAAGCTTTATCGACAGAAAGTCGGTCAACCATTGATTCACAAATAGTTTTTGATATAGTTTTAGTTTTTAGTTTTATTTTTAACTAGACCCGTATGGGAACAGCAAATTTCACAAACAAATGAGCATTAACAACAAAATAATACAAATACTCATTGAAAAAGGAATACACGCATCCGGTCAGACAATAATTGCCTCTCACTTAATGATGATAATAATTGTTATTTTTGTTGTTTTGTTATTACACAGGATATATAAAACTGTATTGTAAGTGAGTGTGACAGGAAGTTGGCAATGTTGTTATTATATTCTGTGTCTTTTAACAATACAACGTGTCATATTTACGTGAAATGAACAAAAAGTAGGATGCTTTCACAAGACAATTCATTGTAAAACTGACAGCATGAATATATAATGAAATATACCACTCACTTGACAAAGCGAGGCAATAAATCATTACACTAGGCGCCAATATTTAGGCACAATTGATTATGTGCTAAATTATTCAGTGTGTACAGCAACCATTTTATCACTGTACAATCATTTTATGAACGAACAGTTTCAATAACAGTGTTAAATAAGAAAAGCAAGTTTGGTTAGATTGAAATAAATTTTAGGACTGAACTAATGTTATTAAAATATTTCGAACGGTAGAATCTGATAGTTCATTCCGCAAATCTAAAGATCTATATAATTGAACGCCAACATGTGAAAACGACCCTTATTAACGTCATTTAACAAATGACGTAATAAAGACGTTAGCATCGTCTTTGGCGTTAAAAGTATGTGAATTACTTTTGAAATGTTAAAGTTAGATATGAATAAGTAACAATAAGCAAAGTTCAGAAGATTTTATTCATTTTATAAGCAATGGAAATGGAAATTTTTAAGAATCAGATATGTGATTTTATAAAAATAGGATATGGCCTTATGGTTTGTTCTTTTTTTTCCGCCATTGAATGAAGAGCAGAACGAAGAATATGTAAGTTAACATTTCAAACATTTAATTATACAAATTTAAGACAATTCGACAAACATCATACAAAGGTATGACTGAACAAGCTAGTTAAATATAAATAACAATGTCCTAATACGGAACTTTCTAAAGTGTTAATGGCTCATTTATTTCTAGTATTGTCATTGATGATCTCCGATCTTTCAATTGCTATTTAATTAAAGGCCCATTTAGCATCAAAGATGCTTACACTGTATTTTCAAAAAGAAATTTTATTTACAGTTATTTATGTACAACTTTACTCATTGGTCATATATCTAAGCCACGATCATAGTACCTCGTTAACATGTTGCTACCTTTAGCACAAATTATTTCATATTCAACGGTTTCTTCTCTAGGTTGTAACATGTTCTAAATCCATTATGACACATGTTTGCCCTTCTACAGAAAACAAAAACCCAACATTTCTTGGGCTTAATTAGCCTTTAATAAATCAGTTTCTAAATCAGAGATTAGTTTCACGTTTTAATCAATAAACGGCGACATGCTATGCTCATGATTAATGCTATATTTAACATATTAATCAATTATTGAATGTTAGCCTACAGACCTGTATCTGAAAGTAATCGATACATCAGGTACTTGTACGTTGTTGTCGTTGTTATTATACCCCAACAAACGTTTCGTTGGGGTATATGGGAGTCAGCTTGTCGGTCGGTCGGTCTACTTCATGTTTTTCGGACGATAAGTTCGATAACTAGAGCATAGAATGAGATATGGTAATCAAACTTGCTATATTGAAACCTTATAAAACACCGGCTAGTATTGCTTTTGGACTCCCTGGGGTCAATGTCAATGTCACAGTTACTAAAAAAGTAGAAAAATGGTTTCCGGACAATAACTAAGTTAACTTCATGAATTAGATTTGTAATGAGTTCAAATTTTGCTTCAGACCACTTATTTTTTAAAAAGTCAAGGTTGCTGGTGTGGTTATTAATCACCTTTAGTGATAGCTCTAGTTGTTATTGTGGTCGTATATATTTTGGTATGTCAGATATTGTTCATATGTTGATTTGGATATAAAGAAATATTCTTTTATGCATCACTTAGTTCAATCGTCCGAATGAAAATTAAAAGTGTATCTTCTAATTATGTGATTCATTTTAACGCTTAAGCCACGTCCTTTGGTGGCCAAGATGCAAACACATAATACTTAATATTTTTTCCTCAAATTATTAAACATAAAGATTTACCTAAGGTTTTATACTGACTCTTTTTCCGATCATGATCAGCTTACGTTGCGGCGATTAATCTGTTAGTAATGTTTTGATATTTGGAGCAAATATTCGAAAATATGACTGTACAATGACCAGTTTTATATTAGATACAACGTTCAGTATACAAACAAATGAAAAACTCCTAAAAAGTTCGGTCCATACCCACATACTGAAAAAATTCTAAAAAGTTAATTTATATATTTCAATAAATGTATAATTATATTTCAGTGATACACTTTCAGATTTCTTTGACAAGGCACTTCTTTACTAGCTTCTATTGTGGCTGATTTCTGCCATTACGCGTCTTCGTGTCTTCGCCTCTGAAAAGTCGAAGGCGAAGAAAGGAAGGCACAATAATATGCTCACTAATCGAGTCTTCGCCTTCGACTTTTCAGGGCATCGTCACGAAGACAGGATAAACTTTAGGCAAATAACGATATTTTTATAGCGAAGACACAAGACCTTCTTCTTTAGAATAATCGTGTGCATATTATCGTGTCTTCGTATCTTCGCCTTAGACTTTTGAGGGACGAGGACACAAAAGCAAGAAATGGCAGAAATCCGCGACCATAACTTTCTCTGATTTTCCCTGTAATAGAAGCTGCCTTTGTAAAATCCGTTAAATTGTTAGAGAAAAAAGTAATCTCCACTATCTGGGGATTTTAGCATTATCACAAATACTACTATTTAACTATTCAATTTACCAGCAAGTACATTAACGGTAATGGCACTTCAGGTATGTGTCATTTACTTGTAGTAGATATATATATATGAGGATAATAATTGATAAAGAACCAATTGAGCCGTGTTATGACAAAACCTACGTAATGCGTTGGCGACCAGCATGGATCCAGACCAGCCTGCGCATCCGTGCAGTCTGATCAGGATCCATGCTGTTCGCTTACAAACCCTATAACAAGTAGAGAAACTGATAGCGAACAGCATGGATCCTGATCAGACTGCGTGGATGCGCAGGCTGGTCTGGATCCATGCTGGTCGCAAACGCATTACGTTGTTTTTTTTCATTACACGGCTCTATTAATATTAATATGAAACATTATTTACATGGCTATGGATAGACTGGTACAGATATTTTCATTGTTATTGACACCTGTTTTCCAATCTGTAAATTGTTATGTGAACTTAAAGTAACTTGGTTTATATTCCTAAGTACTTCAAATATTGATAGAAACAACAGAAATGTATTATTCGGATATTCTTATAAAATATTTCTTGAAGAGAAAATGTTGATAGAGTTGTAAGTGATTTTGTGTTGACATTTATATGACACTACAAGTTTTGTTCTAGAATTTATAATCTGCTATATAAAGGTCCTTTACATACCAACAATATCAATATACAAATTCATGCATGAGTTGATGCGAAATACAACAAACACAATTATTTATTCCATTATGGACCAATTCATTTAAATTGAAATCCAGAGACATGATAATCAATGCCTTGATTAGCATCGTGGATTCGAACCCCGCTTCTCTTTAAAAGTTGAATTCTTTCAATTCTTGAAGATGCAGTCCACATATAACTTACGGAAGGTGTATCAATCTATATTTTGAAAAAAACGAGTGATCATATTGCGACTTTCTCCTACAATAAAGATACAATGTTGACATTGTACGAAAGTGAATAATTATGACATAATTCCGTTTAAAACAGTAATAGGACTATCATTCCGATAACTAAGATTCACATTACTGTAACTGATACAGTTGTCTACAATCTAGATTTGTTAATTTTATTCTGATTTTTCTCATTGGATTGCTAAATTTCTACTCATTTACTTTTCCCGACATAATACAATGCTGTTCTACGCCGCATATAGCTCTCGACAAATCAGGCTCTCTAGGGAGCTTTATCCATTGCGCTTTGTTGAGCCGTATTTGTCACATATCGAATAAATAACTCGAGTGAAAAATATGACATTTATTTCTTTGATAGGATATATAATGATATTTGCTTTGACTTGATACAATATGTCTGAATATACTGAGTTTTCATAATTTTTTATACTAAGATACTCTATGATCTTTGATATTGTTGATTTGTCATCAGTTTTGACAGGATTTGTTTTAAACAATCACATTATATTAGGAATTTTATATATGCTAGTTTCTATGATTGAAATGATCAATAGGCTCATCATCATCATCATCATTATCATCACCATCATCATCATCATCATTATAACGACTCATCTCAGTCACCACCATCATCATCATCTTCATCATGAGCATCATCATCATCCTGACCAGTATAATAATAACATACGTTTTCTTTCACTGGCAATAATATGGGTAAAGAAATTTAGTAGCATGTTTACGTCATTGTTTACAACAGCGGCGGAATGATCATCAACGTCGGCTGATATTATGCTTGTTAGACATTGAAATGTTCCATTTTCTTTCCCCTCATTGTGTAAGATAGATGTCATTTATATGCTCGGATATATCACACACGTGTTACATATTCGATCTCTAACAAAAATCTCTTAAAAAGCTCTGTGCTGATGTGCTGCTTTGTCGGAGCCGCTTCTAGGTCAGATTCAATCTAGATCTTCAAAAAGTATTTTGCTTTTACCGCTGGGAGCTCAAAAGATACTTATTCTGAGCCTCCATTTTGCATGATCTTATTTTTTTCATAGATTTTACTAAGTTTTTTGACACACTAGATTAAACTCCATTTATTTTCATATCCTTTACTTCAAGAAAGTAATGTCGACTCCTTATTTAATATAGTAATAGTCTCATCTCTTTCCATATATGCAGATGCAATTACTGTATAAATGGATGGAGTTTTTAGCTCACCAAAACAAATAGTTCATATCAGAAGTATATGATCAAATTAGCAAATACTTAGATTCTCACTGTCCTTTAGATCTATATACATGTATATAATAGAGTGTAGAGATCTTGATTAAACTTGTATACATTCAATTAAACATTGTTGTTTTAACACAAAAGTTTGTTATTTATTTAATATGTATTGTATGAATTGAGTTCTAAAGGCCCATTATAAGGTAAATTATATAGAGACATCAGAAAGAAGTATATAAGTGACTATTATTGTAATCATGCAACTGTTTATAAGTTCATTGAACTTTTAAATTCGACCAATAAAAATGTGCTTATCAAGCTAGCATTATGTATATGTTAGTGTTCATCCGTGCTGTTCTACAGAAATTAGAAACTTCGACGGGGGAGATAGCGACAGGAGAATGTTCGTAATTTCTGTAGAACAGCTAAGGATGAACACTAACATATTTAGTGTCAAGCTTTATTTGGCCCTTGATTACGTCACTACGCGGTACTATGAAGCACTATGAAAAATAGAAGGCGACTATGGAAGGATTTCAATATCAGTATCGACTTTTTTCTTCTATGAAAATTAACGCGCAGAATTTTGAAGAAATACAGCGTTTTCATTGGATGACAAATAAAGCTGGACACTAAATATTCTTTCAGAATCAGACAATCCTTTTTGAGAGAGATCAAATAGTGTTCGAACAGTGAATGTGTGTTTTTCAACATAATAGTAATAGATGACGTATTTACCAAGCTTTCTGTTTTTGTAAAAAGTATATGAATTCTCGCTTTTTATTATTGTGTGTAGCCGTTGCGTTTTGTGTGTAATGTATGTGTTTTTCTATTTCTGTAAATATGATTATAATTATTACGCATGCAACAAATACGTGTCATATTATATGTAAATGTCGATGAGCTGTTAATATGCTTAAGACTAAAAAATACATGAAATAATGTAATTATACTTCAGGAATGTTTTTATTTTATTTTTCAAAAGCTTTTTAATTTTCATGTACCTTTACAGCATCAAAAAGATTAATAACTAGCTTTTGCTTTTTTGCAATAAACACAGTTATAGTGAATAAGTATTTTGTATGGAAGTCAAAATATAACTTTGTTTACATTTCACTATTTTAATGACAAACTATTTCACATCTATTGCTGATTTCTTCAGGTAACAAGCATCTAACTTTCTCTAAAACTATTAATTGTTAAATGTTATAATTTTAAAGTTTGACCTTTTTAAAGAAGGAAGGAATTTGTTTCTGAGGTATAATGTGCCTTTAATAAACTTCTGTACCATTGTGTGATATGTCCCGTAAGAAATTATTCAGTGAGATATGGAGAACAAAAGAGAATTACAAAATAGATGCTAAATAATTGTATAGAATGATTATAGATATAATGTGCATAGATACACGGATGATTTGGTGAGCGGCATAAGACTTGGATGTCTTTCTTGTTATTCAATCTCATTTCTGTGATATATTCACATTGATAGGAAGTTATTTGTTCCCATGTCGCCCTGATATGGCGATTTTACGAGAATCATAATAGTACATTTTAGAATAACTTCACTGATAACAAATGTAACTGGAATTTCTATTGTTAAAATTGTTTCATTTCAGCAATCGAGTATCACCACTGAAGCATGAAGATTTCTAATCAAGATTATTTGATATAGCTCCACGACATGCAAACAAAAGACGTGATGCCGAGCATAAGAATTAATTCGTAGCACTTCATTACTTTCTAAGGTATCGGCTAGTGAACAAATGCGAACCCTTAGCAGTGTGTAATTGAAGTACAAGGATGGATAAGAAATGTCAATTTTCGAGGAAAATAAGTGACACGTTCACTGATTTGTGTCACAATTAGTCAGCAAGTGACACACGATATAGGTTACCGTATGATAACTTGTTAAAGTGGTTTGCGTATCTACTTCAAAATGCGGCTTAATAAATTTCGCCGGAAACTTAGGTTTTTAGTATGGATAATGTTTATATTCCTCGTGCCTTATATGTACATACAGCTCACGTTTCCCGTACATTATGTATTTAAACATTCTGATATAAATGGTGCATGTATTATTCCAAAACTAGATCCATTTGATCCGTCAATTCTTAAGTTTGTATGGGATCCGAAACCACTTGTCTGTGATTCTACTCCGTCCATACTTTATACAGATCACAGTGGAGCCGTGCAATTTAATCAAAGTGCTCTTAAACTTTTGCACGTGTCAGACACACGTGTCCTTTGTAAATACCGATATTTGATACGTTCCAGCGACGATGTTACTGTTTCATTCTCAGAATTTGTCGACTTCAGACCTCCCCTACAAATGAAATCTGACTTTTCTCACATAATATGCCAGGAGGTTGATAAAGGTGTTATATTTGATCAGTTGGTGAGTGGAATCAACCCGGCATCATTGACAAGTACGTCGAAGGTGCAAGATGAGTCGCCGGAACAGTTAAGTGTACTAATGTTTGGGCTAGACTCTGTATCTAGATCGGCAGCTATAAGAAAGATGCCGAAGACATTGCAGTACTTAAACGAACAGCTCAAGACGTATGATTTCAAAGGATATATGAAGGTAAATTACGACCATTTCATCTTATTGTACTTAATATTGTCAACTCACAGTGTTTGACTGCACTATTATACGTATGAAACCCGCTAGATACTAACTATAGCAGACAAAAGTTCGGTGATTCTATCTTGATTAGCATTCATTGAATGTAATAATATTTTTGAATCACCTATCAGTTATGTAGTACAAATATTTGTGAACATCGTCATCGAGATGGTTCTTTTAAAGCTTATATTAATACACTACTTTGCTGTAACTCTTAAAATGTATACATTCATAAATATTGCTAAGTAATAGTTGTCCTTGATGAAGTAGTATTCTTCAATAATTCACATGTTCTTTCGGACTGCTTAAAAACTAAAATGAACTTGCCCTTGCCTGAACACTGGGTTCCAGGACAATGTCGACCAATCTGTTAATGAGTTCTCACTATCAGCGTTGAAATCTTATTTTATTTCAAGATCATAAACAACTCCCAACAAATCGATGTTAACTGAAGGGAATATCATAATTCCTAACTCCTTGTAAATCCAAAGGGGGTAATTATTGGCTGTAGTGCTGCTATTTATAGCCTGGATTTATTGATTAATCTCAGACTTTCCACCAATATTGCTTTGTACATCATTTTGCTATATGTGAACGATGCCGGCAGCGACGAAGTTAATCGTTCCAATGTAGCAGTATATCAGTTGTCAAGAAAAAGTATTAACCATCAATATAATCTCATATACAATGTATATATACTTAATTCTGTAAATGTTTACCATGAATACTACTACAAGAATGTTATAAAGAAAAAAAATCGCAGAAAGAAGGTAAGATAGGAATGGATATGGAACAGAATTTACATTACAAGCACTTAATAAAAAATACAGAAAGCCTTCTCTTTAAGTATTAGGAAACGTCATTGGTTTTATTTGTATTCATTTTTAGTAGAATGTTTTACGTTAATACAGACACATATTAACAGATAATAACTGAATTTAATCATACGTCGACTAGCGTTTTATTTTATTTATTGAACAATGACGTCATCAATATTTTATGATATATGGATTTTTACAATATAATATATATTTATATTTCTTTTTTCTTTTGATTAAGGTTGGAGAAAACACACTGCCAAATCTGGTTCCGCTTTTAACTGGTCTTCGTGTATGGTCAAATGAAGTACCAATAAAGAATTACCTCACTGAAAGTTTTGATCCGCTTCCGTTTCTTTGGAGAAACTTTTCCGAACGAGGCTATGCAACTGCTTTTGCCGAAGACATGCCGAATTTCGGCACTTTCACATATTATGCAGGAGGATTCCGAAAACAGCCGACTGATCACTATTTTAGACCATTCTGGCTGGGCGTGAATGAGTTAGAACAAGTGAAAAGCAAATTGAGTCCAGTGTTCTTGTATTTAGAGAATAAAAATGTCAAGATTCAGAAGTCATCATCTTTGTGTTATAAGGATAAAACTAAACATACTGTACAAATTGACTATCTAAAACAGTTCATTACAGCATATAAAGGGAAAAGAAAGTTCATGTTTTCATTTTTAGGAGAACTTAGTCACGAGTATCCCAATCTGCTTGCCAACGGTGATGATGATTTTTTAGATTTTTTCAAATGGCTTAAAAGTGGAGGTCATTTAGAGAACTCTGTTTTGATATTCTTTAGTGACCACGGTGCTAGGATAGACGAAATAAGAAACACTTTTGTGGGTCGAATAGAGGTCAGGATGCCACTTATGCATATCTATATTCCAGAACACATAAAATCGAAATATCGTTTATTGAATGAAAGTTTAGTGACTAATACAGAAAGATTATCGGTGCCTTTTGATGTTCACCAGATGATAGTAGACGTGATGACGAAAAATTTCGAAAATCCATCAAAGTCTTACATGGAAGGTCGTGTAAGAGGACACAGTTTATTTCATCCACTTCCACCGGAAAGATCGTGTAGGGACGCATGGTTCCTGTCAATTATTGTGCCTGCTATACATCTTCTCCGATCAATATTTCAAACAGTGCCACTGCAAAGTTGTTGGGAAACAACTTGTAAAGGATTTAAAACAACATTCTGTCCGCAGAACCAAACTGTTCTCAATTGGCCTTACACAAAGTGCAGGATTTACAGCAGGTGACAAAATGGACTGAAACATTCCGGCACAGACAATACTGGTATATCATTTTTCCAGTTTTTTCGAGCCAGAGAAAGACAAGAAACGTTATGATATTTCTGTAGTTACAGTTCCTGGTTACGGAATATTTGAGGGATCGTACCTGGTGGAATCGGAGTCGAACATAAACCTTTTAGGAGCAATTGTAAGGGTTAACAGGTATGGTGATCAGCCCTGTACTTTCTAACAAACAGATTCGACCTTTGTGTTATTGTAACAAACAGCATTGAATACATTAACCAAGTTTTTATACATGTATATATGAGCCGTGCCATGACAAAAACCAACATAATGGGTTTGCGACCAGCATGGACCCAGACCAGCCTGCGCTTCCGCGCAGTCTGATCAGGATCCATGCTGTTCGCTTACAAACCCTATAGCAAGTAGAGAACAACATGGATCCTGAATCAGACCGCGCGGATGAGCAGGCTGGTCTGGATCCATGCTGGTCGCAAACGCACTATGTTGGTTTTCTCGTGACGCGGCTCATATAATATCTTGGCTTATTATCGTCACCTTAATAAAGTAACTAGTTAACTGATTTTATAGAAGTTAACCCGTTACTTGACTAAGGTGACGATATAGTGTGTCTTGTGTACATGATCTTGAATTAATTAAATGTCGGATACTTCTTAATTCTGATCTCATTAATAATTTGAGTAAGAACTTGATACTTTAGTTACGAGTCTTGAGGTTCTCTATACATAAGATTTATTTTGGTGCTATGATGAGAAATATTATCATAAGAATAATAGTTAATGATCACAATACTCACTATACAAGACTACAAAAATAACTTTATGTAAGATAAAAGCATCTACATTGAATCTTTTTTGTTATCTACACAAATGTAGTACATGCAGAGTTATTCTTTTGATGTCTAGAAATTAGAATGAAAAGTTATTTCTGAAAACCAAAATAGACACTTATTTTTGTGTACTGATTTTTATAGTGTAACAAAAAGTATTTTTCATGTTAATAGTTTGACAATATTTTAGCTGTATTAATATGTTATATTTCTATTTTGAAGAAAAGACTTGCTTAAGTAAAAAATACATTGTAATATCTATTTATTTAATTATGTTTTGCTGTGTTGTAAGAAGTTATTTTTGGATATAGAATTATTTTGATATTTGTTCAACTTTTCGTTAGAAACTCTAGTCGTTCTTTTTGATTTTGCGTCGGCGTTGATTAATCGTTTCTGTAAGGTCCTTTTTTTCTCAGAAACTATCAAAACTTTTCACTTCAAACAAAGAATAATTGTTTAAATTATCATGATGTGGTGCCATATCAAAAGGTTATATAATCATAAAGTTATTATTTGCAAAGTTTTGCCCCTTTTCAACTTAAATTTTTGGCCCTGGTTATTTTTTTGTTGTTGAGGTTCATTGCAATTGTGTTTGAATACTAGTACTTGTTCACGACCAAAACTGGAAATGTATATAACCTTGTACTAGTAATTCAAGTTTGCTCAGTTATGGTCCTACTTAACATTTTGTTTAAAGTACATTTCTAAGGAACTGTCAAAGATATTCATTTTAATCTTGGAATAATTGTAACTTATCAAAATTAGAAACTTTTTTAGAATGCAAATGGCCGTGACTGTCCTTATTGCGTAACGAAACTATGTCCCCTTTTCTACTTTGTTTTGATTATACTACCCTGGTCTGAGAAAGTGTACCGTGCTGTATTTTACTGTTACCTTGCCAGTTATATGACTTGACTTAGTCGTCTTAAAGTGTATAAAGCTTTATGAAATGAAATATTTCATGAAAAGAAAATGAATTTGTTTTGTTAAATTTGTATTATAAAATACTGGTGTTTAATATAAAATTTCTTTATAATATAATAATGCATGGATATTATAGGAAAACATAATTTATAAAACAGAAATATTTTGACAAATGTCTTTTACTCTAGGTGTTCTATAATCACAGACAACAAATAAATATATAGCTTGATACACTTTAAGAAGTAATTATAAACCATGCTCTGGTATACACCAATTTTAATGTACATGTATTGTAGTTATGTTTTGCTGTATAATGATTCTCCATACATGTTTAGTGGTACATTTAGGAACGTTTGGCGGTTTTTTGTTATAACATGTAATTTCATTTATTTCTTCTTTATTACCTTATTATATAAAACCATGATTACCGTTTTGCCCTCTTACATGTTTCTTTTGCCCTCTTACATGTTTCTTATAAATAATGAACATACCTGGCCTATGTACATTTTAAGTACAAAAATGCATTATGCTACCCAAAGTTTCTAGCCCCGCCCCCATCCTCGTGCTGAAGAGGTGCTAAAAAGTTACTTCATAGATTACTATATATTAACTCTGATGGGTCTTTAAGATTTGTTTGACCCAACTTATACCTTAAGTCGAATTTAGGGGACATTTTTTAAGAGAAAGGAGTGTAAATCCGGAAAAAGTTACATAATCTCAGTAAAATGTATGTATTTAGAAACATGGCCATATAATATATAACCATTGTGTTGTATATGTATAAACAACTTGCCTTTAAATACTTACCCAGAATGCTCTGTTTTTTGTGATATACATGGTTCTTCATAAAGATAGATTTATTTTGTTACATAATGAAATGAACATGCATTTTTATTGTATATTTACTCTCGGCTGCAGCTAATACTTACTTTGTGAATATAAATAATATAATTATATTTTAATACCATAGTGTGTATAATAAGATATTATTAGATTATTGTTTATTCATGTTCTTTTTTTCTCTTTTGAAATTTTTTGGGCACAAATGATCTTTTATTTGCTGTTATTTATGTTTGCATGAAACAGGGGGCGGGGTCCTTGTGTGTATTTTGTTCACATCACTTTAAAAAGCGTAATTAAATTTTTGCGAAATTCGTCTCGCGCGCACGCGCGCGTGTGTGTTGTGGTGTATGTGTTTTTGTTTGAATCCACTCTTTAGATAGAGAAAAACATGTTTGACATTAGTGAACACTTATATTTGAGAAGCTTGATTCCCCTATTACTGGTGAAGTAAATTTGGTCCTTTCTTTTAAAAAACGGACAGATTTTTAATGATGACTTATATACAGGTATTCATGTTTACCTGGTAACAATAAAGTTAAAGTGTAATTTTTTCTCTCTATGTGTACTAAAATATTAAAATTTTTCATTTAAAGGGGACTGTACAGTGAAACTATCAGTATTTTGAAATATCAACATTGAGGCAGAATATATCTTTGAGCTATATGGGTAAAGACAAATATGAACAATTTTAGCTCAAGCTGAGCTTGCTCATGGTGAGCTTTTAGATCGTTGGAATGTCCGTCGTCCGTCCACAGTTGTTCAACATCTTGGCGGTCAACATTTTTTTGCCTCAATCATCAATAAAACTTTTGTCAAGGATAGCTTGTTGAAGTAATTACTCGGATGAGTACCATATGTTGTCACCTTGGATTTAAAACTAAGGTCACAAGAGCTTAAAAATGTAAAAATCTTGTTAACAATCTAGTGGCTACTGTTTTAATCAGATATCCTTGAATTGATCTGGCGATAAATTTGTTTTGACTGATTTTCTAATGTCAAGTTCGAATATGGCCCCGCTAGTGTCAAAAAACACTGCTTAAATACGGAAAAAAGTTGTTAACACTCTAGTGGGTCACATTTTTGACCTCAACTTGTCATGAAACTTGGTCATGATGCGTGTCTAGATCTAGGGCCATCTGGCCCTGTTGTTTTTACAGATTTAGTCTTTGATAAGTCTTTGTTGTGTTTGATTGTACTTTTCCCTCGCTTTTGGTGCTCTTATTTTTTAAAAAATGGTTCCCCCCTTTCAAGGACAGAAAGGTAACAAACCCTTTAAGCATCATTTTCTCGCAGATTCGTGGCAATTTTTACGTTTTATAAAAATCTCCAGAAATGGGGTGTATATAATGTAACGAACAAATCAATATTCTAGGTATGATGAAAAATAATATGCTAAATGAATTTGTAAGAGATTTATTCTTCATATAAAGATAACACACAAATATATACGTGTCACAAAGTATGCAAAAAAATAAATCCTTTCTCGTAAGTACATGGTAGTCTCTTATTGAGCATTTTTAATAGAAAACAGTCCACTTAAGATATGACTGTTGTTACTAATAAAAATACAATGCAAATGATTCATAAGAGATTGTACATGCTAAACGTTCTTTTCTAACTTGAACGTTGGTACGGGCGTGGGCGGTTCAGGGTCACACATGGGTGGCCGTTGCAATATAATTCCAATAAAATCGTGGTATGTGAACTGTTATAGAGACGTTTTACACTTATATTTTAATATTTAAAATGTTATGTGTTTATGTAAAAGGAATGAAAAATTTAAGACTTATAAACTGACAAAGATTTTTAAAGTTTTTTTAATTAATGTTTTGAATCTTAATTTTTTAACGCATTTATGTGAAAGCATTGCAAAAATAGATTAGTTTTAATAATTAAAATCCTTTGCTCTTATTCTTTGTGTTTTGTTATTTTAATCTTCAGTTCAACAGTTTAAAATGGAAGCTCTTCCATCTTAAGTCGTCGCAAAATCAAATTGCTCCCACCTGGCGCTGTCCACCGCCATTTTCAGAGTGTTCAGTCATTTGTTTTAATGGAAGTGGATTTCCGTTTAAGCTCCACTGTTAAGAAAGGAAGGACTATTGCCATAACATACTCGTCTCCATCAACGTTGAAGTCGGTAAGCCCACCTAACATGATAAATAACTAACTTATATTTTGAAAAAGTTATGTCCCTTTTTTTGATTTGATGAAAAAGTGGAGCGTCAGCTCCTGTTAGAACTTCTGAGATGCTCAGCACCGACTCGGCGTTTGCGTTTTTTTATGAGGACATTTTTTTAATGAGGGCTTGCTTGAACGCTAGAACCATTACTTTTGATAATCTTCAACCTCGAGTGATTATAACAAGAAGACAATGATACCTTTTTCGCATGGGGAAAAAACAACAACGGGTTTTTTGTTATATTGAATCCGGAATAATATTGAAGCTAACCCCTCATATCCCTTTTTCTCTTACTCAAATATACATGTATATGAATTAGTGACTTCCGGTACAAATGAAGTGCCAACTTAAATCAATATTTGCAAAAAGGTATAAACCATCCGATCACGTATGAAATATAATCAATATAAGTCTTGCTGTTTCTTAGTTTTAAACACGCAAAAAAGCAATTATATTTTTGTAGGTAATTAATACACATGTAACTAATAACTATTTTCTGTGTCGTATCCGGTTGAGAGACC